TATATATAATGGACAATGGAAGTCCGAACTGATGAAATACACAACGATTCTAGTGCGCTTAGAATGATATGAGAACATTGATATTGGGTATACAGGGTGTTGTTTCCAAACACATTAATCAAATGGTATACAGGGTTTGTAGCCTTGAAGAAAAAAATCATGACTGCCTGCGTTAAAAAAAACATGGCTGCTGCTTGTCGAAAAATCATAACGTATACAGGGTATTGTTTCAAAACTCACCAATCAAATGGTATACATGTTGTGTGCAGCGTTGAAGGAAAAAATATGGGTGCTAACTATAAAAATAATGGTAAAATAATAATGATGAATACAAAATTGGATGAAAAAAAAACATGGCGGCGGACATTACAGGGTGCGTCAATATACATCATTTGAGAGAAAAAATGTTACGTCAATATGTACAAGGTGTGACAAAATATATAATTTGAGAAAAAAAGAGGGCAGCTCAACAAGGACCCTAACGTTTTAACGTGCTGTCCAACATGTCAGAAGGACACCACCATTTATCGTCGATGATTGTGGCCAATTTATGAATCAACAAAGTTTCGGATCTTTACGATTCATCGAAAAATGAGCACTTCCGGTTTATAGATTTTGAGACAGAAGAAAACTAATGATGAATTCGGATTGTCCATATCGAGGAGAGTCCAAATCTACAATAAAATGGCCATTTCCGGTCGTCTGATTTTGATAATTCCGACATCAATGGATTCGTCTCGACGCCAAGAAAAATATTTATGCATTTTCAGAAGTGTAAAATACAATACATAGAAGGCTAACTTTGTTATTATTGAAGATAGGAGGGGGATGTGGGTATTCTAACCTCACAATTTTCACTGGAGAACATGAAAATGAAAAGCATAGGTATGTAGCATGCATTTTATTCATTTTGGTAGTATAGCCCTTACACTCCCAAGAGTTTTTGAAAAGAAATAATTGAACCGTATCTAGCAGGTGTGGCTCAAAGTGACATCAAAGGATCTATTCAGGATCTATTCATGTGAATTTCAAGACCCTCACAAGTGTCTTACCTGGGAGTGAAATACAATTCAACTCTGACAGAAAAAAGAAATGAACAATGGAAAATCGGTATTTATTTGCATTTGTTATGAAAAATCAAAAAACAACTCTGCTTATTGTTAAGGCAGAGGTATACATTGCACTTTTGACATCGCATCCTTGAACGGCTATCACAACTCTCTAGTTTCCATGTCCAAGGTGCTTTCAGAGAGCCATTGATAGGCCAGTAGTCGAAACCATCGAACCGTTTGTCATTTGTTGGCATAGGAGCTGGTTTATTTGCCGATGCAGTTTGTTCCTGGGAATTCTCAACAATATTTTTCACCGCTGATCGCTTTCTTGTCCCACATAACAAATATTCAGCAATATTCAATCTGAAAGTGAGAAGGTCCATTACTTCCGTTGCATTTTTTCGCTTGCTTTCCCTGTATTCCATTCAGCTATTGACTATAGAAAGATCAAATAAATGCAATATGATTTTTAGTGTCCATTTGCGTGTTTTGAAAAATGTGCGATAACATTCAATCATTTGATCACACAAATCAACTCCTCCCATTTTTTTATTGTAGGCGCATACTACCGTAGGACAGGAAACATTGACATGTTTTTTCAACTTTCCATCCCATCTCTACACCTGAAGCTCTGTTCCGACGCCAAAAGCAGTTGAAGCCATAGAACAGTCTTATTGTCTTTTCATTTCGTGACATATTTTTTTATCTCTTCGTGATACTTCTTCACATTCACCACGCTTTAGGGATTTGTCTGGTGTAAATTTGTGGCCTTTGAATCGGTTTGAGTTAAGTGTACCTATTCCATCTAATCCTGAGTCTGACAACGCTTCCAGTAGTGGAATGGTAGTGAAATAGCGATCAAAAAACACAGAACTACCTTTTGGTAATGTTTCTACTAATCGCAAAACAACAACGGGTCCCAACCCCAATGTCTTATTTGGAAAAGGTGTAGTTTCCCCTTGGTAAATTTCAAAATCCAATAACTATCCTGTCGGGAGTGGTCATAACAAAATTCTTTAGTCAACACATTGAAACATGATTTCATCTTTCAGTTCATTGAAATAGTCCTTCAAAACATCATATGTAGTTGATGTTATTGATATACTTACTGCCAGGAAACATTCTTCTGCTGGAAATGTCTGCAACACCCACGTAAAAACTATGTTGACACCAACTGAAAGGGAAAATCCCGCCAAATGCGGGAAACTGGAACACGTACAATCATAGTGGCTGGTTTTCAACCGAGTCGAATGTTATTTTGACCCTTTTAGTACATATGAATAATGCCTGTACAATT